ATAGTACTAAACAGTTCTAAAATTAGCTAGTTATATATGATTTATGTTTATATCGCACGGCTTTTTGACACATAAAAAATTGCAAATATTTAGAAATTCAAACAAATTGTGTGTACAATCGACTGGAGAGTAGATATTTATTATTATTTTAATTTTGTACCATTAATATAGGAATGGGTAATGAAATATAGGATAACTTATTTAGTATAATTATTCATGTGCTCTGAATACACATTACTCTATAATACATATTATGTGTTAAGACATGAGCCTTTTGTATGTCTTACTATTGAATTTCAATTAACAAACACTTTCCTGAAATTAGGTCAACCCTTCAAATACTCGATAATTGAATAGTTTTTAGAAAACAATTGAATGACTAAAAAGAATTTCTATTATAAAGATATATTGTATAGAATGCATGGATTTAATACTAAATGCATGGTATCAGTGGAGTTTGAAAATGCAGATAATCTTTATTAATCACTACAACAAACCTATTAATGTCCGATTGGTTTGAAATTACTAGTGATTACATAAAGCTATGGGAATTACTTTCTCTAATGTTCTTTAGCTCTGATTAAAACAATTAAACATTTATGGCAATAATTAATTCATTATTTTACTTATACTATCCGATTGGTTTGAAATTACTAGTGATTACACAAAGCTATGGGAATTACTTTCTCTAATGTTCTTTAGCTCTGATTAAAACAATTAAACATTTATGGCAATAATTAATTCATTATTTTACTTATACTCACATGATGTTCATAAAATTAATGTATTCTTAAAATTGATCCTGGTGAAAAATTTATATTTTCTGTTGCATTTATTTTGTAAAATGATTTTCGGGAATACAGAAAATGAGGGAATATATGAAAAATAGATTTTTAAGAACTAAAAGCCAACAAATCCTGAATGAAAAAAAGTGAATAAACAGGATCATACATCACGCTATGTGATCACATTTTCACAATAAAAAATTCAATTCATAACAATCATTATATTTGGTAAGTTTTCTGAATCAAAAACAAATATACAGAATAAGTTGTTTGATATACTTTTTGGATACATATTTAGTTGTCATTATTTTAACATTAACTCAATAAACATATAATTCTTTGTCGTTTTTGTCAAATACAGAATTCTGTGGATATTATTTCATATTATATTATATGTCAAGATATTTGTTTATTTGAACAAAAAATGGTTAGAATATTCCTAGATTTCAAATACTATTTTTGTACATGGATTGTGGGTTTATATATCGAGTAAAATTCAATAATATTAATATCCTATGATATAGATTTTCATGAATTTATTTTCTAATATAAGATAAAATGACACTTTTACTCACATCTCTATACTTTCCTGAGTTATTGAATACATAAAAACAAAATATACGTTAAGACACAGAATCCATGACTCACTTTCATTTGAATACTTTTTAGGATGCTGTAGTTTAGCTTTCAAATTATATACAAAATTGTAGTTGTAATGTATATACTAAGTTTTATATGGTAACTTATAACAAATATGATTATCATCTTATTACTAAGAGATTAATTTTTAAATATCAAAGTTATATTTTAACTGAATATAAATAATGATTCTTTAAACATTGACAATTGTAAAAATAAAATAATTGACATACAGTACAGTAATAATGATTAAAATATAATATATATACATTACAATTAAATATTAAGTTTAATAATGGAAAGATTAAAGAATAAATGATTTAGAATTAAATTTAAATTTATTTTAATCCTCTATTATTAAATAATTTATTTGTAAAAATTAAATATTCAAATAGTTTTATTATATATATAAATATGAATATATTCAGATAAGCAAGAAACAAGATATAATTCAAACCTCGTATTACAGTAATACTACTGTTCACTAATACAATATTGTAGGAATCACACGATTAGTATTCATTGAATATATTGAACATAAGGCTTATTACATGACTTATCAGTGGAATTGTGCGCGAAGTGTGAACACAAATGACTTATTATTCTATATTCCATAGGTTTCTATATATAACACATTTAATGGGATTTTGTTTTATATATGATATTTTCGATTATTACAAACGTATCCTTATTTCCATTTTAATGGCAAACATTTGTTTGTAAATAATGTCTTAAATATAAATGCCTTTATGAAATGACTCGAAAAATAATAAAATAATTATATATTTGAGAAATAATTTTAATTTGAAAACAGAAATGAATAGAAAAGACAGAAAATGCGAGAAAATAAAGTGACAAATGATTATCAATTCAAGTGATTCTGTTGCAGTTGTGCATCAAAATAAAAGATAATCAGAAAAACTTTTTTATGCTTTCCTTTGATCCCCAAAGACTTTTCTCTGATATAAGAGATAAGTTGGCAAAAAAGGAGAGAAATGTTTGAATGGATTTACTTATAGTTTCGACTCCACTATTATTTAATATAATGTATGAGTTATTTGAGAAAAGGCTTTCATTTACACTTTCAACTCAACTCCATTGCCTAACCATTCACTACCAGCTCAACGCTATTTACAAACTAAATATAAGCAAAATAAATGAATGAATAAATAATATTTGGATATAAATCTTGTTTGCTGGTACTTTTTGTGCGCATAGATACCATAGAATAAAGTTTTTTGCAAAATCAAGTCGACTATGATTTGGAAAATATGTTAATTATAAATGAATGGCACACATAAATGTCATCCCATTTGTATTTCACATAGATTTTCAAACATCAAGTTATTCACAAAAGTCTAGTCTATTCTTATTTTTGAAAGAAAACATTTTTATCGTTGAGAGTATTCAATGGCATTAATAATAATGTTTGTGTTGAACTGAATTGACATCACGTTAAAGCTATTGTTGTGATATTTTCCTTACGTTTCACTAATACTTAGTTCACTTTATACCAGAATTCATACACATCTGTCGACCACTGGTTTTGCTTTTTATTGAATTCTTATAAGAATATATACACAAACTTTTATATAACATGTTTCCCTACAATCTTTGTTTACGTTTTGATAAAAATCACTTAAAAAGACAAATAAAAATAATTAATGAATCAAATAATTCATTTGACACTAACTTATAATTAATAAACTTTGACTTTTGAACTAAAAACCAAGTTTTGCGACATTAATTAACAACGTAATAATTTATATAAACTATTGGCGCTACCATGTTTATAATTATACATTTGCCATGAGATGTGACAGTAAGTCATTGTTTGATAATTATAAATTTTATGACAAATTGTTATTTTTGTGCAATTATTTCAAAACAGTGGACTTTTGTAAATAGGATGTCATTCATGAAAATGGATAAAAGATGAGAATTTTATCAAAATGTGATCTAAATTTGTGTTTTGACATAAATGTCAGAAAATTTCATTTATTACTGATTGACATAAGAAAATCATAGGAAGACTAATATAATACACCACTGAATGACTTATTGTATACGCAATCAATCAATAAAACGGATCGTTTGATCGCATAAATTGAGTGAATTGTTGGCGACAGTCGTCAGCCTCTCATCAAAACTCCTATACTTTCGCTCATATTCTCACTATTGCTCTCAATTACGAAAATCAACTTTTCCTGTACTTTAAAATCAAATTCTCGACCAATTATTTCCAAAGAATTATTTTACAAAATAAATTGTAGTAAGCTCCCCATATAAGTTATATCGATTCAATGTACAGAATATTCTTAACATAATAATGAACTGTAAAACAGAATAGAATATAATAATAAAAAGAAAAATTTAAAACATAATTCTTGTATTTTTTAATCCTAAGTCAAAAATATTTATTATAATTAATTAATATTTAACTTTTAAAAATAAAATATTTGAATTATAATTTCTGTTATTAAAATAACTCAAATAAAATATGATATAATATAATTACTAACCTAATATAACTGCTAATACTTTTATTTGAAATGTCAAATTTAATATTTTCTATATAAATAAATATTTGAATTATAATTTCTGTTATTAAAATAACTCAAATAAAATATGATATAATATAATTACTAACCTAATATAACTGCTAATACTTTTATTTGAAATGTCAAATTTAATATTTTCTATATAAATCCTAATTACTATTATTATTTAAAATCGCAAACCACTGATGAGAAAAATTCAAAATATAAAAGCAATGACATATCAATGTTGAGAGTAAAACTACATAAATAAAAATTTATATAAATTTGGCGTAATATTAACATCTATAGACTATAGCCATACACATACGATTAGAATAACATATAAAGTGCTAAATAATGTTTATGGAGTTATATAATGTTTTGAGAGTTAAGATAAAGTTATAGTCAAACAACACATTTTCATCACATCATAAACATAGCATAACATCAATTGCAAGTCCATCAGACTCTCAAACTCTCATTTAATTCTAACCAATGATCTTATCAAAAGGTATTTAACGTCTCTCAGGGAGGAAAAGGCAACACTTTTACACTTGACTACCAAAAGGATAATTTTGTTCACATTAGGCTTAAATAGACTACAATAGAGAACACATATACTCTATTCGCTCATTAAAGATAAGTTTACAAAAAGCTAACGACTAATAACGGAAACCGAATTGCAATTAATCAATACTTTGCGATCGAGAAAATTGTCTAAAAGCCAAACCGAGCCTAAGATTTGGTGTTTGAGAGCCATTAAAACATAAAATATACAAAACTTTTTTGAAGGCATTCATGTGAAGCGAATTTATATGTTTTTTGTATTAAAGGCAAGTTTAGTATCAAAACAGTGCAGAAGAAGTTTCAGTCAATAAACACTTTTCCATTAAGTTCTTGAAAAAATTCCTTACATAAAAAATACTGTCATATATTGTATAGAGAATACTGTATACAATATAGTGGCATTATAGCTTATAAGTGTAATATATACATGTGAAGTGTGATATGAGTTATCATAAATCGTGATGTTTTCATGTTTTCTTGTCTATTGTGTGGTCTTATAGTGTGTTCACTGCTGGCCAGCGGTGCTATCGCTCTGTTCGGTCCATTAGGCGGACGGACAGCACTCCACGTCCAGTCTATTTGTGATGCTCTGGAAATACCGCACATTGAATGTCATTGGGATATGAGGGATACCGTCGATCATCTCTCCATTAATCTCTATCCAAAGCCATCGTCTTTATCACGAGCTTATGTCGATTTAGTTAAGGCTTGGAATTGGAAGACATTTGCCATTGTCTACGAGGATAATCATGGTTTGTATGATTCATACTATGCTACCATAGATGGTTAGTCTCACAATTAATGCCGTTTCAGACAATCAAATCTCTTTAAACCCAATCCTGCGAATTAATTTCAAGTGAGAATCACATAGAAATCCATTAAATAATTGAAAGAAAAGCTTAGTTTAGAAAAATATAATTTTTTATTATTACTTAAGAGACCCTGACAGTTTTTGCGTGAAAAACGACCACAATTTTTAAATAGACTTCAAGGCTTATATCGATTTAGAGTGAAAAGTTTGCTTAAACTTTATATTCAGTTAACAGCTAACTCTGAAAACAAGCCAAAAATAAAATAAGTGTTAATTCGTGAAACATTTTCGTCGAAAGAATTTATTTGAAGGCAAACTGTTTTTATGCTTTCATTGGATCCGACGTTAAACTTGTTTCCAATTTGTTTCCATTAGTTAACAACAGAAAGAGTGAAGTTTTATAAACATTTACTCCTAATTCAAGTAAAGCATTCATCCGAAAGTTAGACCCAAAGAAAAACACAAATATTTGGAATATATTTATTCATTTTTTCATCAAAATTGTTCGCCCATTGGTTTGAATGAAAGGCAATTTCAGTGCTTTTCACTGATATCTCGATAGTTATAGTCTGCATAACAGTTAGAATAATAGACACAATAATGCATTGCATTGTTTGGTTGGCAGAGATTGTGTCCATCAATCAATTCAGGCTTTATTTGCGCCAAATTTGTTGCAATTCTTTGCAGACAAAAGTATTCTCCAGAATATACTCGATATGAAGTTATGTAATATTAATATCTATTAATATTTAGTTAATAATGAAAATGTTTGACATATCTTTGGATAATTGCATTTGATATATAAATGTAATGCATTTATATTGCCTTTTAGTCTCTCAATTAAGTGTTAATATTGTAATTAAACTTTAAATTCAGGTGTCGTTCGCATCCAAGACTTCTTGAAAGAAGCGCAACAAAACGGTTGGACTATAAGTCTCTACCAGTTCTCTGGGAAGCCCTACAGAGACCTGTTTTGGGAAATCAAAAAAACAAAGTTCTATAACATTATCGTTGATGTCAAACGACAGCATATATTCTCTGTTCTTAAACACGTATACTATTTATTCACCCATTATTTCATTTCATTAAAATCACATTTATCATTTGATACTTTTTTCAAACCATTTTCAATATATTCTGTAAAATGCTTTAAGGAATTAGAATTAATTTAAAGAATTTTAAAGTTTTATGTTTCTTATATGTGAATACAAATTCAGACAATACTTATCTGATACATATTGTACTGTATATTATAGTAGTTTAAACTTATAGTTTTGAAAATACATTTTCTTAAAAAGATTTTCATAATCCAGAAAAGTTTCATATTTCCTTGAAAATTTAAATAAATTCAATATATATTTCATGAAATATTATCTTTGAGGTAAACTTTTAAAATAAAAAATAGGAATTCCTTTTTCTACAGGCCTCTGTAGTATTGTCTGAATAAAAAATAGCTTATAAAAGGCGTCGATTGAGTCAAATATCAATCCATTATTTATTGAGAATCATTTGATTTGTGATATGTTTGCGAAATTGGTTGACGACTACTGTTAAGATCACATACCGTTCCCCATTGCAGGCACAGCAGGTCGGGATGATGACTGAGTTCCAGAGTTATCTCATAACATCTCTCGTAAGTGTCTCTTATTAACACATTTTTCATTTCTTTCCTATTTTTCATTCCCATTCTTACGATGTTTTTCTCGCATTTATTATTTATTTTCTTCGTATAAATATTATAACAAAACATTATTTTTAAACAAAATAACAAAAATTTAATTAATACAAATAAGGTTATTAAATTTTACCGCTACTATTAATCAATAATTATGGTGTAATTTATGTTTTGAAAATCATTTACTATACATTTGGCTAAAATACTGTAGAAGTTTAAGTATAATCACTGAAAGGATTTTGCAAATAATTGATTAATGTTTGCAATTTAGACAAATATTGATATACGATTTAAATATCTATTAAAGTACTGGTGACTTGATTATCCGATTTCCAGATCCAATTAGTTTTGGGAATTAAAAGATTATTATTTATATTCATATAATAAATATAGCTAAAACAATGCTAACATTAATATTAAAAATAGAGTGAATCGATGTAATCATAATTTGTATAATTAAGTCATACTCTAATGAACTCTAATTTATTGGTTTATTCGCATAAATACAGCAGAGATTACAAAAGAGA